AATATTTGTCATGTATTATTGCTTCATAAACATTATATTGCAGTCTTAGTGTCGCCAACTCGTTTCTAATATGCAAAAAGACAAAAAAATGCGTCTATGGTGTATTTTCGACCTTTCCAATCCAGACGAGATCTTTCTCCCGTCTGTGTGCGAGGGGGCGGGGCAGTTTACACACACGCGGCTGCTACATGCAGCAACACACGGCGGGGATGGCGGAGAGAAGAAAAAATAGTGTCTTTCCTGTTTCAAGGATTTCATTCAAACCAACATTAGTTGATAGTTTAATTTTTCTAGTGCCACCTCCTTGTTTTGCCCTTACTTGTTTGGTTGTGTTAGGCTTGATTCACAATGACACTATTTCAATATTTATTGTGGCTTTCAGCTTCTTTGTCTGTGTTTTTCTTGTTTCTGTACCTGATGCGTTTCCTTGAGAACTTTCCGATCTCAGTGTCATTTTTTCCCTCAGTCTTCATAAAGGCCTTTTATTCGCTTTGCTGTGGGCTTTTTACTTCTACAATAATTAAAGATGGCAATTCGGCCTCCGTTGGAGGGGATGTATTCTTGAAGAGTGGCATTATCCATAAGACCAATGACGTCGCTGTCAATCTGCAAAGAAGAACGAAAAGAAAACACAATCAAGTTTGTGCACATTGTATAACTATTGTCAACCCTTGTACATCGTTGTATATAGATATATACTATTTTGCCATTTCTCAGACCAAATCAGTCCTGTTCATAATACAAAACATTCATTAATGTTCGGAATATTAACCCTTAAAAAGTCAGTTCGATGCGTAGCATTCTTTTAAGACCAGAGTAGTTACACTTAGTAACGTTAACGTTAGAGACTGACATGATACGCAGCAACACATACTAGATAGAATTACCAACATTGTCCTGCTATTTTAATCCCCTTCAGACAGTACAGCAGGATTCATATTCATCAATCAATCAATGTTTATTTATATAGCCCAATATCACAAATGTCACATTTGTCCATTGAGCCATCGGGGAAGTAGTATGGTGAGAGTCAGGCAGGACCGCAGAGACAGGTTCAGCCACGACTCGAAGTCCAGGACTCAGATCCAGTACTCAGGATAGAGGATCCAGGTCTCACGACCACAGCAACAGGATTAGCCTCGACTCAGGATCCCGGCGTATATATGGACACAAAAAAAGAGATTTGGGGGAAGCTGGGTTAATCGAAACATGAGAGTACACAGGTACAAACAGACAGAAAGACGGAGTAAGGTGCCCCCCCTGACAGTCTAAGCCTATAGCAGCTAAACGTGTCTACACGCATGCACTCCCTTAGGATAGGTTGAGGGAAAAGGGTAGCAAGTAAGGAACAGAGGTGCTGATAATTCTGTGATTGTGGGGTAAAAGGACAATGGCCCAAACCCCTGTGGTAACAATGCTACAGTACCGAGAGGGGTTATACTGGGCGAATTTTGGGTATATATAATTAGCAACTGCCTCCTTGCGTTGTACTTTCACCACTGATCTCTAAACTGTTACAGGCAAAATCATTTGAAGTAATGACGGCATGAAAAAAAAAAGGTTGGGCGATATGTTTTTCCCCGCCAGGCAGGTGAGCGGTAGCTGTCATTTACTGAATTAGATGGGGGGGGGGGGAAGCCATAGCATATAAGCTAATGCACTTGCTGCTATCTCATCAATGTCTGCATTTCACATTCACATTCTAACGCCTTGTCATTGTTTTTACGAACGCCCAAAACACACTTATATATTTATAACTCACCTTTTGTTCTTCCATTTGAAATATGGTTTCCTCTTTGGACCCCTCTGGCGCGCAGAAATTCACTCACGTCCTCCATTGTTGCCTACTGCAATGTGTAAGTCTCTCACTGAAGCTGGTTCTCTACAGTTACCGGTATTTCTGAGATTAAAGTCAGAATTGTGGGGAAAAAAGTCAGAATTCCGAGATTAAAGTCAGAATGCTGACAAAAAATAAATAAAATGTTCTTTTTTTCATGTGGCCCTAATCCTCTTCCGTACTTTCCCAATGTACGTCAAATTGGAAAAGTATTTTTGTGCCTAATGGCGTCACAGACTAACAAGAAAGTTGTAGTACCGCCGTTAACACACTAAGAAAAGTTGCTTCATTGCCCGGCTCACTTCCTGGGGGCTTGCTCTGGACATTTGTCACCCTAAACGAGCGCAATCTTGGCTACAAAACGGAAAGTACAGAACCAGCCACAAGTATGGCTGCTACAGTAAATTACATTGGTAAACAAAAAAAGTCACACATCTACATATTTTTTACACTATTCAAGCAATGTACCACTTGAAGGCAAAGCAGCGGTAGAAGTTCACACAAAGTATAATTGGTCACAATGCACAACACTGTACTAAGAAGTATCCAAATGGAGACAGAATAATTCTTTACCACTACTTCATCACATAATTACTGTTAAATGATTCATTCTGATGTCATTTTCAGGGACCACAAGGCTGTAGGCCGACGACCCTTTGACAAGATGGCCACCCTGCTGGCCTACTTGGGCCCTCCTGAACACAAACCTGTGGCCGACACCCACTGGTCCAGCCTCAACCTCACCAGCTCCAAGTTCGAGGAGTTCATGACCAGGTAACAGAAGCAGCCTTCATCCGTCGCTCAAAACAAGCGAGTCCCTCCAGCTGAATACCCGCTCGGCCTCATTTCATCCTCAAGCCGGATTCATTTAATTTACATGTAGGGCTCAAATAGGCTAACTTATTGTGATAGGAGTGTAGTTGTGTGCACTGAATAACCCTTTGTGGGAAGTGTCTTAATTCTATTCTCACCTATTGCCTCATCGCTTGATTAAATTATTGTGGCTTTGATTCATAAAAATGTCTCCCTTGTTACTTTTCCATATTCACATTATTCTCCGTTGCAGCAGAGGCAGTTCTTTGTCATATTTTGACTCTAAATCCAGCTTTTCAATGTCATATTTCACCAAATAGCTCAATTCTGCATTGCATTCTGACTGAGAGCTATACAAAATCAGCTTTGGATGTTTATTTTATATTTTTGTACCAAATCATTGCTATAAGGAAATAAAGCTGGCTTTGCAGCTGCTAAATGCTGTGGCTCTCTGAGACACACTGTAGCTTTATGATGACCTTTAAAATTCGCTTCATGGGTTTATTTTATCTGATACCATTATTTTATACTATCGCTTTAAAATAGATTCCTAATTTGTGATAAAACATCACTTTATCCAAAGCTCTTGTTAGTAAATGAAGGTTGACTGATCTATCGTCCTCTGTCCTGCAGGCACCAGGTTCATGAGAAGGAGGAGTTCAAAGCCCTTCTTAAAGACCCTCAACATCTTCTACCAGGCAGGAACCCTCCAAGACCGGCAACCCAGTCTTCTACTACGTGGCCCGCAGGTAGGAGTCATCCATCTTTCTGCATGTAGTTGTCAGATATCGCCTGGTTCTCTTGAGGTTTCCTACTCAGTAACAGATCCTCTGAAATATGCCTGGATCGCTCTATACTTTTTAATCTTGCATTATCAGCTCCCCTTCATTGTCATGGAGATGCATCCTGTTGATTGTCAACAGCATGTGGGCTGAGTCATGTTGAACTAGAAAAACAAACGATGGGTGGAACTGGAGTTTCATTTTATTATTTTCTTATTGTCCTAGTCTAGACCTCTAATCCTATATTAATTCCCAGTTTTGGATCATGAAAACCTTTAGGGTTAGAAAAACAAGAGCATTAAGTCTGGACTAGTTTGTTTCTAAATGTCCAATCAAGCTTCAATGTTTTTTAAGTTGTATTATTATTTATGTAGCTGGTTTTGGGGTTGCAATGAAGTTTAACTGAATCTTTGTGACGATAACAGTCCTACTGGAATTCTACAAAATGATTTTTATTTTATTTAAAAATGGAAGCTTGTGGATCTTTTGAAATGTGAAGCAAATGGACAGTTTAACCTCTCATATGACTGATTGTTTATGCGTTTGCTCTTTGTCTTGTGACTTGAATTAAAGAAAGGCACTTTGATCATTCAAGGCCCTGATTTAAGGCGGATACACACCTGGATTAATTTCAATGGCCACAAATAACCTTCCCTTGCCTTTCTTTGGAGGGATCATTCTGAAACATGTTTGTCCTATGGTCGCAGCGTTCTGTGAAAGAGAATCATTTGAATCATTAGCCTGGAAACCCCCCAGGAAGAAATTCCATAAGCATAGTCTGATTTACCTGTCAGCAACAACTTTTTTAAAGTATTGTTTAGTTTGAGTACATACATTTTGCGTAACTACTATACGTCATTATACTTAACATAAGTCACATGTAGTTTAGCGGTGGTGACCTGCTTTGTTGTTTTAGCCTCAGATGTAAGCCTTTTACTCCTGGAATTTCATTCACACTTCTACAATTATAAAAGTGGAGATGATCCTATTAACCACAATTTGGCAGTGTCATAAACGTGCGTTTGCCACAAATCCTTTTTTGTGCAAAATTTAGAAAGTCCAATGGAAAAATACTTGCAATGCTATGTCATAACAAATGCCTCATCACTGCGCCACTCTGGCTTTATAGTAAGAAAAGCTGCACCAACAGTCACAGCTTATTCAATTTGATTCAAATAAACAACATATTTTTTTAACAGCAATACAAAACAGTTCTTGTCTTTGCAGATACTGCATGTTGAGAGACGGCTTTGAAGTAGTAGGCTGTTGTAATTCATTGAATTTCTGATTTCTTTATTAAATGTCCATTGCAGGCAGTAACACCTATAACCATTCCATGAATTTGTATTTGAATGCTTGCAATGTATTTAGCTGTGTAGACTTTACTACTCGGAGACAGAGTTTGAATAGAGGGTAATTGAGGTGTCTTATGTATACATCAAGTTTTGAATGGCTAACAGGCTAATTGAGCACGAGCATCACTATTATAAAGAAAGCATAGAGCACAGCAGTCTGAGTGCAAGCATTATACTGACATCTTGTCATTGTCGTACATGTGAGCTAAAAAAAGGCAGTAATAGTCTCAACAGTTGTTTGTTTTTACGAAAATGTACGTTCTAAATTGAGTATCTTGGTCTTACATTCACTGTCCAGAATAATCCTAAAATAAGTGTTTGGTTCAGAAGAATGCTGTTGTCATGATTAAAACTGTCAGGGTGACAGTTTCTCGAGTCTCCATGACGAGTCCGAGACATTTATTCCTCGAGTTAGAAAACTTTGGGCTTTCTCGTCGTCTTCGCTGTCGTTGTCGTTGTTGTGCTTGTGTGCGCGGAGAAGCCAGCCAAACTTGTGGTGGATGTCAAGACAAACACTCCGTGGTCCTCAGATCCATTTGAGCCCCTCTGTCCTGATACGTTCTGTCTCAAAGAGAGCCGATTTGCCCTGGTAGCTAGACGTGACCTCAGTCGTGGCGGGTGATGGACCATCATGCCCTTCACCTCTGCTTCGACCCAGAGTGGGGGCTCTGTGAACAGAGCAGAGTGCCCCGCTGTGGCCTGATGGCTCTGCCCAGATGGGTCTCGTAAAACAGGGGCAGCCTAAGATGGTTGCAGGGCTGTGCTCCGCCCATGTTAGGAGCTTCGTCATGTTTTCCTCTTCTTCACAAGCCCAAGGGTTATCCCCAAGAGTCATCAACTGCAGCCCCCGTCAGCTTCTCAAATATCCCTTCTGACAACGAGGAAAAGCCGTTAGCGTGCAGATAGAACTTGGCCAGCCTCGGCAGACGTCCAGAGAGCCAGGCAGGATCTGCACCAGATAGTTATGTGACAAATCCACAATCTGCAGGTTGTGTGGCATGTTGGTGGGCACAGTCCAGAAACCTGTTGTGGCTGAGGTTGAGGGATTGGAGACTGGGCAGCGTGTGTTGATGAAGACCACCCTCTCCAGCTCGTTGCCCGACAGGTCCAAGACCTTCAGGTTCCATGATAGGCTGTGCTGTTCTTGTCCAGCGAGCGCAGTGGTTCCCCGCCGCTCGGATGTCCCACAGAGAGCGAGGCAGGGCGGGGGGGAGGGCGTCAAGCTGGTTGTAGGACAGGTCCAGCGTGCGGAGGTGGGCATATGGGTGAGCTGGCTCCAGGCCCTGCAAGCTTAAGCCAGAGTGCGATTTAAAATGAATACATGTATACACACAGTCAAGTTGACTTTTTTCAGAATTTATTTTGTTTTTTAGAGAGAAAAGTAAGAAAGAAATTATTTACCATACTAATCATAAGGCAACTTAGCTCTAACCTTTGCTGATCAAAATAAAGTGTTGTGAACATATGAAATGCTAAACTGTAGTCCATGAACTAATATGTTATGACTCTGTAGTGTCAGTAACCAGCAATGTCAACATCAAGTTTGCTCATTTTAACATTGCTAACGGCAACACAACGGCTCAATAGAAGCACTCAAATTGCTTCCCCACTGCAGATTTTGATTTAGCATCCTAACACCATTACATTGTAAGTGTGAGAAAGTTAATGAGATCTGTGAGTCATGTCAGGCGTAGACAGAATCATTAGCTGCGATAGCTTCATGTTTGTTTACCTGCTGACCGTGGTTTTATCCTGAGCTATAGCTAGCTTACAAGCACTGTTGATCAAATGAGACAAAAGTAGTACTAGAAGAAGGAATAAGGAATTTGCTTTGGTGTATAATGATGCCATACTTGGGTACTTAACCAAGCAAATAAAGAACCTATAAAAAAGCAAACTATTAACTAATGTCAACTAAACCTATTTTGAAATACAACTTAAAAAAGATGAAAAATATTTCAAGAAAAATTAAATAAAAAATAGAATCTGACCAACTACTTTACTGATAACGCATTGTAAGAATGGATATTGGTCTGGCCCTTAGTATCATCACTTCACCTTGTGACAATGACTGTTGTTACCATATACCACACTGGACAAATATTCCATTTATTTTTTGACCTTTAACCCCCAATCCTTCTTTCAGAGAAGATTAGGCTTTTAGTCTTTGTTAGTGTTACCCTTCCCGATGCACAGTAAACTGTCGCAGAGCGGGACTGCAACCAGATCACCCATTCAGGAGCTGCCTACCTATTGAAAGAGGTTGAGGAAAGGGGTGTTGTGCTGCAGACCAGGCGGGTTTAGGTCAGTTTGGTGAGGCCTCGAGAGGAGCAGTCCACCACGCGATGTCCCCGGCTGCAGGAGCACACCGCGGGGCAGATGGAGTGCACCAGGCCCCCCCCCCAGCACACCACAGCAGCAGGAAGAGCAGGGAGGCAGAGCACACAGCCATGGTCAGGGCTCTACAGAGGAAGAGTAAGGGGCAGAATGAAATGTGATAAGATAGGCACTGTAGAAAAGTATGTAATGGGTATCGTATTATGGTCACTCCAATATTATAGATTGCTTAATCTAAATTCTTAGTACCATTTTGGTATTTTTGTTATGGCAGCCCGGTGGTTGAAGCTCTGCCAGTGGGACAGGAAGCAGTGCTTGCAGTGGAAACTCATTTCATTCAGGGCGATAACATCACTCTGTGTCCACAGCTGCAGATGTTGTGATCTGCAAACTAAAGGTTCCCATGTGTGTCTTGGATTTTCCAAAGCCGCACCGTGGAATACCCTTAACATTTGTTCCAGAAACGTCCTCTGTCAGAGCGCTGCATTTATTAGCCAGTGATGGCAGTGGATGCTCTGCTGTGGACTATATTCTCTCGTGCTTTTGTTTTCAATGTGTAGTAATTACTTTTTATAATGTGTCCATGCGATACTAAAAGGAGAAATCTGCCTAGTGACAGAGCAGGGAGTCGATCCAAAAGAGCCAGCACTATATTACATGTTGGTTTACTGCATTCAACAACAATCCCGAATGTTCCGGCTCTCCGCTCAGGTGAATGTGTGTCGTGTGTTTATCGTTATCGTCCCATTTCAAATCCACTCACCTCATCCTTCTTAGTGTTTATCCGTCATCTCTCCTCTCCTCCTGTCATCTCGTACCGCTGCAGGTTTTTTTTCTCTTTGTGCTTTATTGGTCGCTGTTGGAAGGTCTAAATCTTTTTTCTCTGGCACTTATTGATGTGGTAGCGTGGCCCTTAGCATGCTTCCTGCATGTGCCGGCCCCTTTTCTGCTCCCCGCTCTGCAGGAACCCTGATGCAGCTGGAGGTTTGGGATAGGAGAAGGGGGGGGGGGCTTGCAAAGAGAGAGGGAGAGGAATTGCAGCAGCGAGTACAGCCCACCTGCTGATGAGGCAAGGTGTGTGTGGTGTTGTGTGTGTGGTGTGTTGTGTGTGTGTGTGTGTGTATGGTGTGTGTGTGTGTGTGTGGGTAGTGTGCTGTGTTGTGTGTGTGTGTGTGTGTGTGTGTGTGTCGTGTGTGTGGGGGTGGTGTTTTGTGTGTGTGTGTGTGTGTGTGGTGGTGTGTGTGTGTGTGTGTGTGTGTGTGTGTGTGTGTGTGTGTGTGTGTGGTGTGTGTGTGTGTGTGTGTGTGTGTGTGTGTGTGTGTTAGTACTGTTTTCTTACCTTCAAATAAATCCAAATGTTGCTCTGTGTTTTGTTTCTGTGTGTATGTTAATAGGCAACCGTTTGCCATATCAACTTAATAAAGTGAAACTATGTCAATGCCAAAGCATTTGATCATTACAATTATCTAGGCCATTGAAAGTGTTAATATTGCATTTTAGGAAATGTAGTACATGCTATAACAGATTTTCGACATTAGTAAATACTCACTTAAGTTCAGACATATTGTTAGAAAATATATTTGTATACATTAAAGATTACAAAATAATTGAAGAGCAATCGAAAAGAGCAGGACGACACTCCAGGTTTAAGGTTTCCTGCCCTGTACTCTCTGATACTAGGACTTGGTTGTAATTGTATTCTTAATCAATGAATATGGTAATTGCTGTTGGTACTTTCATCAGTCAAATGTACCATGAAGTATGACTGTCAAATGAGCTTAGCTGAAATAATTACACAAAGTCAATCGAGTCGCTGTCATGTTGTCCACTTTTTTTTTGTTTTGTTTCGATAGTAACAGTATTTTGAGGCGACCGGTTAAAGTACAGCTTTAGAAGGACTTGCAACCTGGAAGTGCGTTTAAATGTGACAACCAAAACCACTGGGAGACGAGACAGAACCCGAATGAACTCGGCTCCTTTCTTGCCTCACATTCAGAAATGATCTCCAAATACAATAACACTTCTTTATTATTTGATATACAAAATATACATTTACATACTCTTTATTAAAAGGTTTATGATCAGGATCATTACCAACACGCAAACGAACAGGATGACCTAACAACTTGATTAAATACATGTACATACTCTTCTCATGACTACACCGTAGAGATACACATGATAAGCACAGTATTAGCATAAGAAACCAACAAGGGCTGCACAATTCCATCGTAATAAGTGCTAGTGCAATATTCAAATCTCAGTAGGCACACTATGTTACAGGCAAAATATGTGAAATATAAATATACATCATAGCAATTATTTTAAATATATGTCTCAATGATTATCAGGATAATGATGCAAAAAAGAACAAGCTCTCCAATAACACAAATCATATTGCAATATCAGTCTAACTAAATGCAATTAGTTATTATATCCAAATTGTGCAGCCATACCTTTAACCCATGATCTCATCCTATACTGTGACCCTTTTCTAATGGGTCAATATTTGCACATTAAATTATAATGAACTGTAATTGTTGTTTGTTCTCCCCACCACATACTGTAACCTTCTGCTTTACCAGCACCTGCGAGAAAAGAAGAAAAGGGGCCTACATGCCTAATTTTTTTTGTTTTCTCTTGTCTTTTTGTCTCCTCTTAATTCTCTGTCAAAGCGTCTTTGAGTTTCATGAAAAGCTCTATAAAAGTCCCATGTATTATTATTATTATTATTATTATTATTACATGCGCCTTTTTATAGAAAATGTTCTCTCCAGAAGTGTTGGAATAAATGCATTTTAGATTGATACTCTTTAGGTGACATGTTTACAGGGTGATAAAGACAATACTGCAGAGGTCTGGTGTCAGAATCCTTGAAGGGGCGATGAGGAGAGGCACATTATTTTGCTGATAACTAAAACTAAGAGTCTGGTTGGCTAGCAGTAAAGTGTACAATAGTCTGACTTATGACTCTAACACTGCCCTGTGCATTACACAGGGTTGAGCATTTGTCAATAACAAAAACATTTGTTTTATCATAGCGCTTTTTTTCTCCACTTCTTGCAGTGGAGATCTAAATAAATATGACTTCTCGTCATGATTTCCTCAAGCGATCAGTTACAGTAGTTTCCTGTTTTCTCATTCACAGTTACTGCTGCCTAGAAACCAAGAATAACGACACAGAGTGTTTGGGGATGTCTTGCTAACTTCACGCTTTGTTGCCGCCCAAACTCATCAATCAGTTTTCACAGTTTCAGATAGAGTGGAAGGATCTGCTACATTTTCTTCATTTTCTATTGCAACCTCTGAATTGTTGTTTGTGATGGCCGTGTCTTTTGTTGGCGAAGAGGTCAGGTTTTCAACAGTCTTTGGAGGGTCTCTTGTGCTTTCTATTTCTGGAACAGCAACCCCATTGCTTTCTTGTACATCATTCCCATCCCCCTCTCGACCGAATGTACTTCCTTTATTTCCAAATGTAGTATCTTGTGTCATGTCTTTTAACTCCTCATCAGTTTCTTGGAGTAAGGACAACCTCTTGGACAGTCTCTCAGGCAGGAAGCTGGAAAGAGAAATCCGGTTAGATGACCTCAGCGTTACCTGGCCATTGTCAGCTCCTTCCTCAAAGAAATGGTGAAGGACCGGCCCAGTCTCTAGTTGTAATCTGCTGCTTCTGAAGCTTACGTTTCTTTATCAAATGACCAGGAATCCTACCATCATCAATACCAGTGCCCCGCCTATCAGCCCAGCCACCGCTTTACCATGGGGTGCTTGATTTTTTGACTTTTTTTCTGGAACCTCTTCATTTGCCTTGGTGATGTAGATGACTGGTTTCTTTGTGGTGGCCATTGAAGTTGTGTATCCTGTGGACTGCGTAGCATCACCACTTCTGACTGTACTTGTAGATGTGTTTGTAGATTGGTCTGTAGATTGGTTGGTAGATAGGTTTTCAACAGGCTCAGTAAATGTGGTTGTAGTAGAGTTGGGGTTTGTAGACCATGTTGGACGTGTAAATGGACGGGTCGTTTTGTCAGTGGTGAATTGCCTTTGGCTGGAACTGCTTGACATTGACGGTGTCCCTATGGTTGTAGTTGGAATGCTAGCGTGACTGGTTGCATCCGTTGTTTCTGATGTTGTGAAACTAGGGGGAATTTCTGTTGTGGATTTCATGCCTACTGTTGAGCTGTTTGACTGAGACCATGTGGAATTGGTTGGAATTGATGATGTTGGAATACCTGGAAAGAAAGTCTTAGAAGGTGTCGTTGGAGATGTCTGCCGTGGAGTTGTAGCTTTTTCCTCTGTTGTATCAGTTATGGAGGTTGGATTTAAGCTGGAAACTTCCTGTGATGTCATCTTGTCCTGAGCGAATGTATTTTGCGTAACCGGTGTTTCTGTCATCACATTAGTGAAGTTGTACCTCTGACCAGATGTCACTGTGCTGCTCTCCGTCAGTGGCAGCAGCACTGTGAAGATTAGGCATAGAGATTTGACCGTCATTGTTTTCTTCAGGCTTCTTGCTGGTTGCTGTGTCTTGAGCTAGAACAGAGGAAGTCATTTTGTCAGAGGTGACGAGTAGAATCTGAAGCAGTTTTGAAATATATAACTGTAAAAGTATTGCAGCATTTCCTCAAAATGCAACTCTAAATGGGCATGTTTTCAAGGTTACATACAGGGTGTATTTAAAGATTCCCTCTGACTTACGGTCGTTTTTTCCAGGCGTGGTCATTTCCACAACCATTAAAGTATCTTAAATGAAATGATATTTTCTGTTTAATCAAGATAATAAGTGTCGGCTTTGACAATAAAAACATTCTATGTTCCTTAGTTTTCTTTCATCCTCTTCATTTTCAACCATCGCTCCAAGGCACTTTATTTGTGATAAGTATCACTAAGTATCACTATCATGGTGTAAATATATACAAGGTGTCTGAATAGATTTTTTTATCTGTTTCAATTCACTTCTCTGTAGATGCTTTCCCCCTATTTTTAGCTCCAGCAACAACCCAGGTGCCTCCAGATATATGTTTGGACCTGAGGCAACATTTAAGACATAACATTATAATTCAGCATGATTAAAATGTACTTACCAATGACTTTACACAGATGAGCTCTGTAACCCGTTAGCTGTGTTGCTCCAGGATGTTATCAATTGAAATAGTTATAGGATAATATGCTGTTGCCAGTAGGCAGGATGGCCTTGAATGAAAAAAGGAACTAGGGGCATGACACCCTCCTCTACTCAAACGCTGACTGATTCTTGCCTCACTTACAGGAAGTGTGACATTTGAAACTGTTTCCTTTATTCTTAGTTTGATGTGCTGTACATGACTTTTGTTCATGTTTGACACCAAAGCCTGTTTTTTGTTTGAAATTACCAGAATAATATTTAATATTAATCTGCTATGTGGTACCTTAAATGTAATTTTCTCCCCAAAAATTAAATGTACACGTGCTATCCCTTATGGCCTGATTGCACATGCTATTTATGTACTTTCAACCGTTATATTCACCAAATTCATACAGACCCATTTATTCTCATGAGTCATCAATCATGGTGACCAGAACAATGGATGCATTTCCACATTCAGGATCAATGTACCAGAGTAGGGATTTCAGATGCATGACCCACTTTTAAAAAGTGACTTGATCTATAAAGTTTTTGTGGTGTTATCAAAGCCATTAAGTTGGCAGCATTAACCCGTGCATGTCCAATAATGTAGACCAGGGGTGTTGTTAGAAATTAAAATCAATGTTTTGATAGCATAATGTACCTTAAACATACCTTCAGTTTAAATGCTGTTTTATACTGAAAAACCAGAAGTTCCTGTGCACAACCAGTTGTTAAGCTTTACTCTGAAAATCCGTCATCTCCGGTTAGCATTTAGCATGAGGCTAATATACCATTTACTATAGAGGTGAATTTAGCAGCGATATGATGTTGCACACCGAAACCTACTGATTTCAACACTACAACTATAGAAGTCGAGATATTATTATTGTTGAATATTAAATGAAGGTAGTTTATTTGAGCACGTTATTGTTTACAGATGTGGGTAGCATGCGACAACATTCGGAACGACCGGAAACCAAACTGCTGTGAAGTATTTCCTGTATTTTTGGAGTATTGATTACAGCGTTTAGAATGTGTTGAAGGAAAAGTCATGAAAGAGTTAAGGAGGAGAAAAGGCGTGTTTAAATATATATTGAATGTACAATGTCTGTATCCTCTGATATGTGTAACAACGGACATTAAAACGTTGGAGAGCCGGCCCGCAGGGAGGAGCCAGTAGAGGATATATAAACAACCGGACCTGAGGGGTTCGGCCTCTTTTTCCCTCTGCTAGCGAGAGCCAGAGACAGCTGCTTTTCTGTCGGACAATATCCTGTTTGTGACTTTACCACGCTTTTTATTAATTAAAGTACCGATTTGAAAACATCTCAGAGACTCCATTTAGTCTCCTTTTAAGCTTCTCTTTCCTGGACACGAGAATAACCATCACAGATTAACAGTGTCCAACTCAATTTCATTGTGGGCTACATTAGCATTATGGTTGCACTCACAGGGCCGGTTGTAACTATATAAATATACATATATAAATACATAATATATATGAAATAATGTATTATATTTAGGGCTGTCAAACGATTACAAATTTTAATCAGATTAATCACAGCTTAAAAATTAATTAATCATGATTAATCACCATTCGAACTATGTCCAAAATATGCCATTTCTTTATGTATATTGTTGTGGGAATGGAAAGATAAATGAAAGAAGGCGGATATATCCATTTAACATACAATATCTATGTTTATTATAACATTTTTCTGCGTGTCAAAATGAAAGACAGCCCACACACCTATCAATCATCAAACCGTGGGGTCTTAATTCATTACGTGTTGATTTCTATCAACGGGGGAGTACTTCAGGAAAGTCGACAGAGGGGGGGGGGGGGCGGCTAGTGGAGTACTTCGTGACCACAGAGTGGTGAACGTTGTGGATCAGCTGTTTTAGCGCAGTTCTCCAGTGAAGGGGGGGGAGGGGGGGAGTCTCCCTCCGCAGCCGGTTGGCGTAGTTTTGGCTCAATTCCGTTTAGGCCACAAGGTGAACCTCGATAAGTCCTTTAGAAAAGAAATCCCGCTCCACAGAAGTGAAACTACATAATCTTTAGTTCATAAAAAAGAATGAGTCATGCTTATCCACCAAAGAAAAGTTTGTCGCTAAAATTCCTGTCAATTCTTCTAGGCACGTAATTATTGGCTGAACTAGTCCCTTCAAAGCGTAATAATATCTTGGTCAAAAGTAGTGCCACGGTTCGTCACGTGATCGTGCTACACCAATTGGGTAGCTGCATATTGTCAACAGAAGTGAAAGATGGCCGCCTCCATGGTTACACTAAACCAGACCAAATGGATTCTAAACAGTGCTGTATGCTTGTTTTATGTCATGTTTTGTCATATGTCTTAATACATCACTAAGTCCGAGGTATTTGCGTTATATACGCGGTATTTGTGAGAGGTTTTATTCTCTGGGAACAGAGTTGACCATCGAATCAACATTGGCTAGCAGCGTTTATCAGCCAACTCCAGCTACAACAACATTCCTGGACTACCATGTTCGCATCGCTAGGTTCATTGGCTGAGCTCGTGGATTATTCCAACAGACTGAGGACTTTTTGTCTGTCTGTCTGTTGTTATTGTTACCCTGTACACGTTAAATGCACTCTTAAAATAAACATGACTTGATTTCATACATAGCTGCGTCCAAGAAGAAGGTTAACTTGTTACGTTAAGTAATTTAGATCAATAAAATGCAGTACTTATACCAATGACCATTGATTCATTTATTTACTCATTCATCATATAATAATTTGATGAATTACATTATTATTATTATTATAGATTATTATTATAGATATATATATAGATTATTATTATAGATATATATATATTATAATTATTATTATTATTATTATAATATGATAATATTGTATTTGTAACTTCAAAATCAATGCCACCGTTGTAAGCTTGTCCTGTACGTATTCCATCTTGTATTGGTAAAATAATCAACCTTTTCGTGCTTCACAGACGTAATATGCATGTAACAATGTTTGTGTGTTGATAATTTTGACTTTTTGAGACTTTCTGGTGCGTTTTCCTCGTCCCCGCTACTCGATGAAACCATGGCGATTGCCATTTTTTCCAAATCTGTTTGTTGATACCGGTATATGCAGCTACCCAATTGGTGTAGCACGATCACGTGATGGTCCGTGGCACTACTTTTGACCAAGATATTATTACGCTTTGAAGGGACTAGTTCAGCCAATAATTACGTGCCTAGAAGAATTGACAGGAATTTTAGCGACACACTTTTTTTTGGTGGATAAGCATGACTCGTTCTTTTTTATGAACTAACGATTGTGTAGTTCCACTTCTGTGGAGCGGGATGAAACGATAACAGGGTTCACCTTATGGCCTAGTTGTACAGACCGACGTTAACAGCAGCCCTGTCTGTGCACACGGAGACCGACTCTGTCGTCCGGTGATCTAACCGCCTTCTGGAAAAGCTTCACAAGTACGTTGGTACGCAAATGCGCTTTGTGACACAAGTGACGGTACGCATTTCAGATTACGCACATAACCTGCGTACCAGTTATGTGCACCCCTGTACTACAGCAAAAGTATTCTCCGTCGGGACTTCCTGCAACAACACCACGCCGTTATCAAAGATGTTCTATTGAGAAGACGATCACTACGTGACAAAAGTTTTCAAACCCGTGGCAACTGAAATCAATCTTACTAACTGCTGTCTGTGCAATTGACTCCGCGAGTTAGCAGACTTTATTTTGCTTACTTTAACATCATTTTTCATGGTGGGGCTAAGCCATTTCTTGGTATGGGTGTAGCCTACCCCAGCCATACCCTGGCGCTGCCACTGGTGGCATGTATGGGGCGGGCCATTCTGCATATGCGTTAAATATTTTTACGCAATTAATTCAAAAAATTAATTACCGCCGTCAACGCGATAATTTTGACAGCACTAATTATATTATATTATTGCCTCTGCATTGGATTTGTATTGGATAGGGTAATAACTTCATAATTAACTACGTCTGAAAGCAGAAGTCTAGGGCGCATGTCACAAAATGAGATGCATTGTGGGACATATAGTTTATGGGCAACATGCTTCTGTAAAATAAGATAAGATGGACCTTTATTAATCCCCGCGGGGACATTTAGTAGTTTAACAGCAACAGGGTAAGATTGAAAAACAGGACAGCACAGATTCATACAGATTAATAAAATTAAGGATAAATCAAAGATTAAAAAAAAAAGAAAAGATAACTATAAAAATAAGAAATTAATTAAAAATGAACATATATAGATATACTGTAAAGTAGCATGTAACCATATAATAAACTTATTACTTAAAACCAGCATACACACACGTCTTTTTTAACACTATTTTCAGTGTATAATTTAATTGTATCTTCATACATATCAGAGAACAATCAGAGAAAATATTATTCTATATTGTATATCTGTATGTAGGCCTATTATAGAGTCAAACGTGTATCCATCTAACACTGCATTTATCTAGTTATTTACACAAAACTATTAATGAATCGCTATCTTTTTTCAATAATTAAAATACCTGTGCATTATATAATATATAACATTTGTTCTGCTTACCACACCTTCACTACTTCAGTATATACTATCCTACTCATAATTTCTTACAATTACGCCTCATAGCTTATTTTTAAACACACATAAAATGAATAATACATTGTGGTGTGCAAAAACCAATTTATTGAAAACCTGAAATAGAACAAGCTCTGTTTCTTATGCACAAATGTTACATAAGAACACTAGTATTAGAAAGTCTGCAGTACAGGTACAAGAGCATGAACAGCTTAAAACACAGAGGAATGTTCAACAAAGATTTGTGAAAACAACCAGGACTTTTATCATATATTGTTCCCAACTTTCTGATCATCATTTGATCTCGTCAAATCTAGGAATAGGATCTCTTTGATACTTTTAAATTGGGTTGATCTATTTGTTGTTGGTTTACCTTCATGTCTGTTTCATAAATGTATTGTGTCCACTCATTTATGTCATAAATCCAAAACAGAGACAAATCAAACTGTTATACAGTAAATGTTGAAGTTACTAAGCGTAGAAAATAAGAAGCATATCAAGTTAAATGTTAAAAAGTTATACAAAACTCATAATCCTTAATAATATACACCTTACTCTTTAAAAAAAAAAAAAAAAACATTTCTTGTGTCCGACACTTATCTAAACGAGATGACTTCTTTGTATACAGAATTGTAAAACCCCTTAAAGCAATTTAATCATATTGGTCTAGATACTTAAAATGTAATTGGCTTGACTTGTAAAGTCTTTTTATATACCATTTTAAAAATGGTATAGACATTTTGAAAAGATTCCCATGGAAGCTTCATACATCAAAATGTATACACATTACTATCACTTCGTACTGACCAAATGTCTTTAAAAATGTAGAGTAAAACTTCTAATTACCCAACACTGATATTGAATGTATTGTCAGAATTGTAATCTTCCTGATGGTAATTTAAAAGTAAAACGTTTCCAGTAAGGGTACTATAAACCTGGTATTCTATAAGCATTTTACTGAGGTTTAAGTAAAGTTATGTGAGGGAAATAAACTGGAGGAATAAACTGAGCTGAACTGACTGGTTGCTGTTTGTCTAAATGAAGTGTGGGCCTGGGGATTAACAACGTGGGGTTACCTCCTCACACAACAAGGGGCATGTCCTCTAAATCCCTTGGAACCTCCAGACTGGAGTACCTGGAGTTGGTGCTCTGCATCTGACTGGTATTCTCTTGAGGAAGTAAAGCCACTTGTTCTGCCCCAGCCTCTTCGCTTGCCTGCCTGTCTTCCTCCATCTTGCCCTCTTCTTTTATCTCCTCGAGCATGACACTGGAATCACAAGGCCCAACAAGTCCTCTGTCCTCCGACTGGACAACATCCCAGTAGCCCGCACCACTGGAGTGTCTTGGGGCATAATGTCGGCGCTGAAGGATGTAGACCTGGCATGCCAGTACCACAACAGCCACTAGCAGGCAGACAATCAGCCCCCCTGCTGAACCTATAGCAATCAGACCCATCTCTGTGTCGATCAGGCAGTCGGCACGGGTGCCATTCATGTCGATTTCAGGTGGGTTTGTGTGGCCATTGGTAGCAAGGCTGGGCTCCACAGCAGTGGTCAAGCTGCTTTCTTGACTTTCTGTTGCGTGCAAATTTGGCTGCGTGGTTGAAAGGTCTTGGTTTGCATTGGTAGGGCAGAGCAGCAGCTGGCTGAGCAGTAGAAACAGCCAGAGAGAGGTATTGGTGCCTTCCATTGTGCTGGGAAATTAAAAGAAGAAATGTTTCCCAACATTCACAATATTCGCCTTACTGTTTTAAGGTGAATGCAAAGGGACTGAATCACTGTTTGTTATGAAAAACAACTGCTTACATAATGTCATTGCAAAGAATTCAGACAAGAAATAATTGTTTTAAATCATTTAAAAAATATGATATTGTATCGTCATTACTTACTTGGAGTAGTCTTATGTGAAGGTCTTGTTGAGAGATGGTTTGAGACGGCAGCAGCTAACAGACTCTTGATAAGCTCTGAACTCACTTCCTGACCCTCTCTCTGGGTCTTTTCTGGTCAGGTTATTTTGGTGCCTCGTTCTTTTCACAGGTGCTGAAGAGCTCTTTCAAAAATCGAAAGACAAAATTGAAATGAAGTTTCATTGGTGTATAATTATTGTGTGAGCAATTTTAAGCAAGCTTTTGTGTCCATAACCATTCCCCCCAAAAAATGCATAATTTACTACAAAATGCCTGACCTTGAACTGTTTTGACTGAGTTTTTTTTATTCTCCTTTCTTTAGGTTCAAAACAGGCCAGATCAATGGGGACCTGCTCATCTACCATGTCCTCCTCACTCTCAAACCCTACTACGCTAAACCCTACGAGATAGTAGTAGATTTGACCCATGTAGGACCCAGCAATCGTTTCAAGACCGACTTCCTGTCCAAGTGGTTCGTGGTCTTTCCCGGCTTTGCCTATGAGAATGTAGCAGCTGTCTATGTGTACAACTGCAACACCTGGGTGAGGGAGTACACAAAGTACCATGAGCGGCTACTGACAGGCCTGAAGGGCAGCAAGCGGCTCCAGTTCATCGACTCTCCAGCTAAACTGGCCGAGCACATTGAACCAGACCAACAGAAGCTGCCTGCGGCCACGCTGACCCTGGAGGAAGACCTTAAAGTGTTCCATAATGCCCTCAAGCTGGCCCATAAAGACACAAAGGTCTCGATAAAGGTGAGGATATTTCCAGCAGTAAGACTGAAAAAATTGGTTAGTACAATCAGTTGAAATTTGAGCATGGGGTTTTCTTTAACTACATATGTTTTCTTGCTGATCAGGTTGGCTCGACAGCAGTTCAAGTGACCTCAGCCGAGCGGACCCGTGTTCTCGGCCAGCCCGTCTTCCTCAACGACGTCTACTACGCCTCAGAGATTGAGGAGATTTGCCTGGTGGACGAGAGCCAGTTCACCCTCACCATGGCCAACCAGGGCACGCCGCTCACATTCATGCACCAGGAATGTGATGCCATCGTCCAGTCCATCATCCACATTAGGACACGATGGGAGCTGTCACAGCCTGACTCCATCCCACAGCACACAAAGATTCGACCAAAAGATGTTCCTGGTACTCTGCTTAACATCGCCCTGCTGAACCTTGGCAGTTCAGACCCCAGTCTCAGGTCAGTACTGCAAGCCATACAGAGTAATTCTAGAGTTTTGAGAGGAGTTGCCTCACCAGCTTTATAGAAACAAATAAATTCTCTTAAAAGGTTTAACACCTCTGACTTGTTGTTCATACAGGTCTGCGGCTTACAATCTACTGTGTGCTTTGACCTGCACATTCAACCTAAAGATAGAGGGCCAGCTGCTGGAGACCTCAGGCCTCTGCATCCCGGCCAACAACACCCTCTTCATTGTCTCCATCAGCAAGACTCTGGCTGCCAATGAGCCCCATCTAACGCTGGAGTTTCTGGAGGAGTGCATCTCAGGCTTCAGCAAGTCAAGTAGGTCCACCTAAAGCAGCTGCTGGAGGACATACAGCCGGTCACTGTATAACTCTTAACCGTTTTACTATTATCAAAACAATCTTGCGATCATGTGTTTCTGAACTTTTACTTTTTCAATACAAGCATACAAATATTGGTGTCATATTAAACTAGAAAAATTCAAAATCCATCTGTACCTACCATTTAATGGTTAGGAGCAGAGGTCGCGTTAACCGAATATTTTCCGTCTATTTTTTAACAATGACGGAAAAATCTGAAAGCATTCAGTCATTTTGACAGATTAGAACAAACTCGGAACAGCGCCAAAGTTCCCCGCAGCGAGGCTCCAGTGTTATGCATGCCCGCCAAATTATACCTTTTCCAAACCTAACTTTGCCATACAAATCATTGAAATGTCTGAGTATTGGCTTTACGCTGTGCGCGCACCCGCGAGGTGCAGTGGGCATGCATAACACGGCGCTAACAGTTCACAAGCGTTGACAGTTCACAAGCGTTGACAGTTCACGAGCATGCTCCCCCCCCCCCCCCCCCCCGCCAGAGTTGTGTAAAGGCCGATGGGCAATACTGGATTTTGACGGAAATTTTACGATCTTGTCCGTCAAAATGACGGGCAGCGAAAAAGTCTAGCGCAATCAAAGGTTAGGTAACATTTTGGCAATGGAACATTTTGGCAATGGAAAAACTGGCATGGGCTTAAGATTTCTGAATGAAATGGGTTCTACAAGTACCCACCATCCTCCCCTTTAAAGATATGCCCATTTTATGCCATTTTATGCTAAACCCATTTTTTAGGGGTAATATAAATGTGTTTCCATCCAATTGCCGAAAAACGCATTTCTGCATTAAGACTTTTAAGATTGTGTTCCCTAAGGCCTCATCCTCATTTGGAGTAAAGTTAATTTTTTCATGAAAAGTGAGTACCATGTGTAAGTCCTAAGTGTTGTAATAAGTGTTGTCCTGTTGCAGGTATTGAGCTGAAGCATCTCTGCCTGGAGTACATGACACCCTGGCTGCTCAACCTCGTCCGTTTCTGTAAGCACAACGACGACGCCAAGCGCCAGCGCGTCACCGCCATTTTGGACAAACTCATCACCATGACGATCAATGAGAAACAGATGTATCCCTCTATCCAGGCTAAAATCTGGGGCAGCCTGGGCCAGGTGAGTCCCTAACCCTTACAGTCTAATAAGGAAAAATGTATCGAGGACCTGGCATTTAACCTTCTCACTGTGTCTCTAGATAACCGACCTGCTGGATGTGGTGTTGGACAGCTTTATTAAAACAAGTGCCACAGGAGGCCTAGGCTCCATCAAAGCAGAGGTCATGGCTGATACTGCAGTGGCCCTCGCTTCAGGAAATGTCAAATTGGTCTCAAGCAAGGTGAGCTAACACTTTCTGTAATATTGTCTGCAAAGTTACCTGTGGCCAGCACGTAGATAGAATTTGTTTACTGAAGTCTAAAGATCCTTAACATCCTCTTAGGCAACAATACCTCAAAAAGCACTTCATGTTATTGTCAACCTCTACTAAAATCTGATAAATCTTCATGGTCATGCTTGTGTTTTAGACAACTGATCAGGGAAGTGTGTTTGTAGGGTGACTGTGGCTGCGAAGTCTCATCCTTGTTTGTAAAAAGAACAAAGATGGGTCTGGTCATGGGTGTACTGTGGGAACAGGGGGGGCTGAGCACAGAGCCTTGGGGTGCTCCAGGTTTCAACACTAAAGTGGAGGTGTGACAACAATCAGAAGTATTTCGTTTTGATATTAAAACTATCCCAGCCAACATTTCACAAATGTCACTGAACTTTAAAGAAAAGAGCACAGTAAACAGTGGATACAGAAAATGACTGATGCTCATAATGAGCAATTCTGTTCGACCAACCTGTAAAATCTTACCTAGCAAGCTCTGGCCTTAACTTTGTGATAATTATGGAAAACTTGAGAAATCTGATCCAGGTTATGTTACTCCAAAATACAAGGTAATGAAGATAAAGAAAGCCAGTGTGAAGATTAAACACCCACAAAAAGCTTAAGGGGAGTGACACAATATCCTGATGTTGCTTCATAAAGAAATTGGAAAAATAGACAACCGCTGCATATAGTCCATGGAACAATGGAGCGACAAAACCAAACACTAACTGATATTATTGTTAAAGTGAAGAAAAGTGACGGTTACAATATTAAACTGGATGGGACTCCTATAGCAAAGAAGCATTGCACAGTGGAACCAAAGTGTATGTGACCTCTTCTTTGACTTTTTGCAAGACACTCACTGCAGCTTAAGTTAATAACATTAAATGTTTTTCCCCTGTTTTTATCTCAGAGTGCATGTGAATGCTCCATTTAAAAACTACAAATCTTCAGACAACCTTGCAGGGTCTAAGTTTAACATCCAACAATGCATACACATACCACTATTCTCATCTGCTCTATTATTGTTCATCACAACATTTTAGACGGCATACTAGTAACATTAAATGTTTTGTGATGTCACATTACTTTGAATAACACTTCTTGAATAACAAAAAAGGTTACAAAACTGGTGCATCACAGCATGGCATGGTTGTAAAAATCATATCCGAATGCAAAGATGAATGAATTCAACACTTATTAGAGGTTTAGTTTCTGTTGACGCTGTTGCTAGAAATCGGCATTCAATGTAAAGAATACTTACTTACTAAGGCAAGAAATGAATCCAATGCTGTGAATCCCTCCTGACTTGGAGTATTCAAACTCATTTACTCAATATCCATCAGCTGTGGGCTCTAGATCCAAACAACAACAACATACAGCAGCAGACACAATAGCAAAGGCAGGCCCCGGCTCCTATTATGGCAGACTCCAGCCCCGCACTGAATAGCGGCCATTGTGAGGAGTTATGACGAAGAAAAGCCACTCAGTGTTGAAGTGAAAGTGCAGTTCTCCGTAGTGTTTTTGAGTTGTTTTACCAAAGATGTGTTGCTGAATTTAAGAACTTCAACATTGAAAATTGTAGATCGTTGAGGGATTATACATCATTTTTTATGCTGGTGTGATACTAACGATTACTGTCTGATGTCATGGCAGGACAGCGTACTGAGCACAATGAGGCCTTGTCTGCTGTTCTTGAACTCTGTGTCACCCAAGAGTTGAATATATGCCATGTCGTAATTAGTTACAACCAAAGCCATATTTTCATATGCATCAGCTCCATATCTAGAAATACATGCACAGTGTAAACCATGGGCTTACCTAGTGTACCAAGTGTAGTACATTGATCAAGAAATTCAAGTTCAGGTTTGCGTGTTTTTATTTTCTTTACTGAGGAAAGCTTAGCCGTAATGAATCCATAGTCTTGTGCTCTCCAAAAATATAAAATATAATATTCAAAAACTGTGTTTTCTGATGGCGGAAAATACATGTTTTGTCGATGTTAAATTAACTGGACCATTTCTGTGGATCGATATGACTACATCTGTCCCTTGATCAGAGCATCCTTAGCATCAGTCATCTATCCCGGCAAAGAGCAGTTTTATGTCGTATGTATGTCTAGCTAACTAGCGGTTATGGTTGTGTATCATTATTTTAAGAGCTTAGTATTTTATGCACTACACGTTATGTTTAAGTTCAATATTCATCAGTTTTAGACATTTATAGCATTTATACCCTGCTCTGTCTTTCTTTAAATTGAGGTGTTCTTAAACTGAAAATAATCAAAGACCCCTGAAATAAAGGAACTACTAGGGCGAGTAATGTCTCTTTTTCCCATCAGCCATTGTTATTATGAAATTGAAATGGAAAGTTTGTCTGCATTGTTCCAATGTTGGAATTATTCTTCGTGGCAGGTGATTGGTCGGATGTGTAAGATCATCGACAAGACGTGCCTGTCGCCGACGCCCACTCTGGAGCAGCACCTGATGTGGGACGACATCGCCATCCTGGCCCGCTACATGCTCATGCTGTCCTTCAACAATTCTCTGGATGTGGCGGCCCACCTGCCCTACCTGTTCCACGTGGTGACCCTGCTGGTAGCCACGGGGCCGCTCTCTCTGAGGGCCTCCACCCACGGTTTGGTCATCAACATCATCCACTCCCTCTGCACCTGCTCGCAGCTCAACTTCAGCGGTGAGGACTAGCTCATTGATTTGGCCGGCAGCCTGAGGTTGCAGTAAGGATAACGCTTTACGCTGATCGTCAATAATAAATCAGAATCAGAAAGCATTTATCCGTCCCATAGCCGGGTATTCACAGCGCTACAACAGCAGTCCAGATGAGAGGAGAAAAATAAAGATCCGATCTTATGGGACAATAACAGTTACATTCTGAAACATCCGTAACGTTTTTATTAACAGCTTATTGATGCATACATTCAAACTATTTATATTCTTATCATTATGATTACCAAAGACTAATAAATCGTAATTCTTATTGATTTTACAAACCAATTATTAACCATATACAGAGTTTCACGAAAATCTATGTTGTGTCCTGATTTCATTTTAAATGATTTATTTATCCATAACAAATTCTTAACTACTTTTACATAGGTAGTAAACTTTACTTTGAATAATAAGTTAACATTTTGAATTATAATGGCATTGTAAAGTTTGATTTACTAGCAATTAACCTTTTCTTTATATTCAATATGTCTTTTTGTGTATCAGTTGTAAGATGATACAATACAAAGACTTAAGACAAACATTGAAAAAAACAAACGATTTGTTAAACAATCTTGCAGTGCATGGAAACAGTGTGTCAGAGAGCAAAGTAAAAGCTAGGACTTCTTGAGGCAGAACTAATCTCTTATGTTGTTGTGTTCTGTGATTTCAGAGGAGACGAAGCAGGTTTTGAGGCTGAGCCTGACCGAGTTCTCCCTGCCCAAGTTCTACCTGCTGTTCGGCATCAGCAAAGTGAAGTCCGCCGCCGTCATTGCCTTCCGCTCCAGCTACAGAGACCGGTCCTTCTCTCCAGGCTCCTACGAGAGGGAGACGTTCGCCCTGTCCTCCCTGGAGACCGTCACAGAGGCCCTACTGGAGATCATGGAGGTCAGTAGTTTGTCACTCCACTGTACCACAAATGCATTTATTCCATGAATGAAATGCTAAAGATCCAAGAAAGTTTTTTTTCAAACTGTTTATTCAGATTCATAATATAGTCAAAGTGTTGCTTAATCTCTCAGTGTCTTTCAGTTTCCTCTATGTTTGTGTCCTAGGCTTGTATGAGGGACATCCCAGCCTGCAAGTGGTTAGACCAGTGGACAGAACTTGCACAGAAGTATGCACCGCCTCCATTTGATTTCATCAATGCTAGTAAGCCTGTCGTGGAGCGTTCAACAAATGCCTGTTTTTGTATTGCAGGTTTGCATTCCAGTACAACCCCTCCCTCCAGCCCAGAGCGCTGGTGGTGTTCGGCTGCATCAGTAAGAGGGTGAGCCACGGCCAGATCAAGCAGATCATCCGGATCCTCAGCAAGGCCAGCCCTCTGCTCAGCATCGACCGGGTGAGAGCGCAAATCCACTCATAAACCCTTTTCAACCAAGGTTTTCTAGGGCTTATTAGAAGAAAACAAATGTTTTGTGTCTTTACTGTTGCGGACCTTACAATACAAATCGAGTACATTTACATTGAAGTTATTGTGAGGGAAAACAAGTAAGATACCAAAAGAAAAGATTTAATATATGATGGAATAGTTTGTATTAGCAGATAGATATCATCACGAATAAATACCAAAATTACTTTTTTTTAATGACTTTCTACGTCGCTCTCCTCTTTTCTTTAAATTCTCTCGTCGTCACAGGGTCTGGAGAGCTGTCTGAAGGGGCCGGACAATTACAACAGCCAAGTATTAATAGAAGCCACAGTCATCGCTCTGACCAAGCTGCAGCCTCTCCTCAGCAAGGTACGACCCAGCATACGCCCCCCTCCCCCCTGCAGCCACAGTACAGAGCCCCCACTCTCTTTCAATACTAATGAAAGTTTGAAAATGAAAGCGAATAAGACACCACAGGAAGCAGTTTCCTTTTTAACTTTTCACCTCTGTAACATTTCATCAGAGTTCGTGGTTAGTTTGTATGACCCCACCCCGCCTTAGAAGAGAAGAAGATGTCACATTTAATTATTCACTGTAAGGTGGAACAAAGGTTTCAGCTATCTTAAGTGTAGCATGCTAGGCTAAATTAAATATCAAGACATCAATAATCAACACCCCCCTGTGTGTGCTTTGTAGGAGTCTCCCATGCACAAAGCTCTGTTCTGGGTGGCGGTAGCTGTGCTGCAGCTGGATGAAGTCAACCTGTACTCTGCTGGCACTGCCCTGATGGAGCAGAACCTCCACACTCTGGACACCATGCGCATCTTCAACGACAAGGTCACACACACACACACACACACACACACACACACACACACATACACATACACATACACATACACATACACATACACATACACATACACATACACACACACACACACACACACACACACACACACAGGGTCTCCTCTTCTCACACAGCCACACAGTCTGAATGTGTGTAAACTAAAAGCTTACATTACATGTCACTTGTTATCGCTTTTATCCAAAGCGACTTACATACTCAATACTGTGGGCAATCCCCACAGGAGCATTTTGGGGTGAAGTGTCTCAGGGACACAACGACATGCTGACTGCATAGGGGTTTGAACCTGTGCTCCCCTGATCCGAACACCAACGCAATAGTCCACTGTGCCACACGCCTCCTTAATACATATATTGTCCATGGCCAAGCTGGGGCTTGGCCATGGACAGCTCTATATGTGAAGACCAATACTTTGAATTGGGTTCAAAGTATTGGTCTTCACATATAGAGCTGTCTATATATATACATCAATGACCTGATCCACCCTCACATCACAAACTGGGCCCTGAGGTCCTCTGAGCAAGGCCTCCTAAGGGTGCCCCTAACCAGGCTAAAGACTAAGGGGGACCGTGCCTTTGAGGCGGTGGCCCCAAGGCTTTGGAACAAACTCCTCCAGATAATAAAAACCTTGACTTCATTAGAGATTTTTAAGGGGCAGTTAAAGACCCACCTTTTCCGACAGGCCTTTGGGTCGTCGGAGGAGGCGAGGTGGTAGGTGTCTTTTACTGGTGTGTTATTGTATGTTTTATCCTATGTATTACCTGCTGCTGTTTTATGCCTTTTATTCTACATGTTATAGTTGTACTTTGAATTGTGTCCTGTGTACTGTACTGTAAAGCACTTTGTACATCCGTGTTGAGAAGGGTGCTATATAAATAAAGTTTTACTTACTTACTTATATACGTTATCATACTATAATACCAATACACAGCTGGATGTATTGCAATATACATGTTACATATTTTAACACTATGTGGACATTTTTACTTTAAGTTATTTTGTTTGTTCATTTTTTCTTCTGTTTTCTTTTAAATGTATTTGTACATTTGACTTTAACTTTATAATGTATATATCAATATTTTTCTTTTCTTTTATTCCATTTTAAAATGTAGCAACTTGAAAATCTTAAATGTAAAAGAAAGAAGCAAACATTGGAATATGTTTGTTTATTTGAAGTTTTGACAGCCATAATGTGAAGTACGCGTAAGTCGGCACACACATATCGTCACAGTGTCAGGAAGCTCATCCAGGTCTGCAGCTGCTGCCTCAAAAACACTGATCAGTGTAACTGCATCTCTTGACAGTCTTGCTGTTTATATTAGGTCCATCACATGTTGTGAGCTTAGGCCTAGAAAAAACATGAAAAACTGCTGAGGTGAAAATGTGGAGAGAACTGACTGACTTTTTTGTACTGATTAAGTACCTTAAGATACGTCTCTTAATGTATCTTGACAATGAGTGGATGATGGAATGAGATTTGTTGACATTACCAAACACAGCTTCCTCATTCTCCTCTCCTCTTATTGGCCCATCCAGAGTCCAGAGGAAGTGTTCATGGAGATCCGGCGTCCTTTAGAATGGCACTGTAAGCAGATGGATCACTTTGTGGGCCTCAACTTCAGTGCAAACTTCAACTTTGCACTGGTGGGCCACCTACTCAAAGGTAAAGAGAAAACTTCTGCTGATAGACATCAGCTTTGTTTTAATGAAATGGTATCTTCCAGAGGTTTGCATCAGTGTTTTGTTAATGACGGCTGTTTGTATCTTTCTTGTGTCTCTAGGCTACAGACACCCTTCCGCCACCACAGTAGCAAGGACTGTGAGAATCCTGCACACACTTCTCGCTCTGATCAGCAAACATCTGAAATGTGACAAGTTTGAGGTTAACACTCAGAGTGTGGCCTATCTGGCTGGTACGTAACGCACTAAGAGACATTTACACAACTTCCAACACTATCCTGCTCATGCCCATAGCACCAATATTATGTCATGGAAGAAATACTCCGCTCTGCATCAGCCAAACAGCTCGCTGCACCCTCGCTGCGAGGGGGACCCAAGTTCCCATCAGTAAAAACACGTGGGTTTGCTGTCCTGGCTCCAGGATGGTGGAATGAGCTCCCCATTGACATCAGGACGGCAGATAGCTTACACACCTTCCGGCGCAGACTGAAAACTCATCTCTTTCGACTCCACTTCGAGCGATAGAACTATTAACAAAGCACTTATATACTAATAAAGGACTGGCTTACCTAAAGCCAGTTGAGTAGCACTTGAAATGTTTGGCTCTATGAAACCTGATGTACTTATATGATTCTGTTTTCTTCAAGTTTGTATCTTCCTGGTCGAATGCACTTATTGTAAGTCGCTTTGGATAAAAGCGTCAGCTAAATGCAATGTAATGTAATATGATCAAAAGTTAACTATTGAACAACATTTTGGCTTTGGTTGCTGCTTGAGCCCCATCATCTCCCCTGGTTGTCTGCAGCCCTGCTCACTGTATCTGAGGAGGTCCGGAGTCGCTGCAGCCTCAAACACAGGAAGTCCCTCCTGATTTCTGACCTCTCCATGGACCCGGTCCCCATGGAAACGTACACAAGTCACATCAATGATCCCAGCTGCAGGTGAGCAGAACAGAGGACAACTTGTCTGATCCAGCGACAGCAAAATGCAGCCCAACAGGCACACTATGAAACAAACTCAATTAAAATGCAGATGACCCTAAGTTTAACCCTTTCCTAATTTTTTTCCAACATTTTTCCACTGGGTATAGTTTTTTTTTTTATCCATTTGAGTGAATAAGTTCATTCTTGACAGGGGACATATCCTTTAATAACTACATTTTCAGTGCTTGTGAATAACATGCACAAGTGTCTACCAAACTTAAAACTTTAAAATAGGGCTGTCAAGTTAACGCAATTTTTTTTTAAAGCCACTAATTATTTTACCGTGAGATTAACGCATGTGTATTTGTCCTCGGCCCACCCCGTAGTTTCAGATCCCAAAGGCTTGACGTTGTTGTTGTTGTTAGTTGGATGGTGGGAAATACTAGCGAGAGATATGGATACAAAAAAAGGTGTTTTAAACAGCAAGCCAAGCACACAGCTGATGCTGACAGCCCCGTTCCTGCCGCTCGCTTGCGGCAGACCACGCTTGAAAGTTTGCCGGGGAGACGCCTGGACACGGCGTCTACGAGCAGCAAGCTTTCAGCAGCGATAGCTAAATGGGTGGCGGTGGCTACAGCTTGCAGGACAATTAACATTGGAGGACGAGGGGCTGTGTGAGATCATTCGGATCGCATCCAACGTGTCGACTGCACATCACAGCGCATTATTTTGACCCTAGGTGGGAACTTCAGTCTCATGCTTTGACTGCTATGAAGACAGAGGAGCGGCATTTCACCGACAACTGTAAACAGGCTTGTCTGTTTGAGCAACTGGCTCAGTGCAGAGAAGTACACAGGGTTGGGAGAGAGTGTAAGAGAGAGAGAGAGGTTCCAGGTTGTTGTATTGAAAATATTCAGGAGAATATTTGTCATTGTTCAGAGGTTGTTGAAAGCCCTACTTTAAAATAAAAAATATGAAGTCAATTTTTGTGGGCAATTCAACCATTCATATTTGCTCCCCTTCCTTCCAGGGTTATTAAAATATATATAATTTTCACATATTTTTCGCAGTCGGATCAGATCTGACTGGGCTTTCTTGGGGCTTACAGAGACAGGTTAAAGAAACCTTAAAGCATATAAACATGTTCTTTTAAAAATCCTGATGTATGAGCCTGAAATGAGCCTAATACGTCCCCTTTAATAAGTTGTCAGGTTGTGTTCTGTTCCCTGACTTTTGGTCCATTCTCCTCAGAACTCTGCGTGAGACTCAGCCGTGGACGTCCCCCCAGGTCTCAGAGCGCTACCTCTCAGCCCATCACTACCCTACAGTGGGACAGATCAGCCCCCGAACTCGCAAGTCCATGAGCCTGGACATGGGCCAGCCCTCGCAAGCCAACACAAAGAAGCTCCTGGGTATGACTCGTGTTGTTCATGTTGATCTTTCCTAAAGAGAAGTGTCCATCAATAAAACCTAAAATCCAGATTGTAAATGTACCTTTGACTGATTGTCTACCAGGCACCAGGAAGAGCTTCGATCATCTCATATCAGACTCTAAAGCGCCAAAGAGACCAGAGATGGAGTCGGGTATGACCACCCCTCCCAAGATGAGGCGTGTAGCAGAGAACGACTACGAGATAGGTGAGAGTGCAGCATTCCTTTTTTCCTTTGATACGGTACAGTTTCTGTGAGAAGAAATTCTAAATCCATGTTATTTTTACAGAGACGCAAAGAATTGCAAACTCTCACCTTCGCAAGGTGTCTGTATCAGAGTCCAACGTCCTGCTGGATGAAGAGGTGCTGACCGACCCAAAGATCCAGGCTCTGCTGCTCACTGTGCTGGTGAGGACACATAGAGGGCAGTGATTGTGTTTTAAATTCTGTTCACGTGTCGATCACTGACTGTTGCTCTGATCTACCAGGCCACCCAGGTCAAATACACCACTGATGACTTTGACCAGCGAATTCTCTACGAGTACTTGGCCGAAGCTAGTGTCGTCTTCCCAAAGATGTTTCCAGTCGTGTAAGTAGCCAACAAAACACATTTCCCTAGGTTAGGTTGTACTCTGACGATCGGAGTTAGATTTATTTTGGGCGGGTTATTTTTAGAGTTTAATGTCGAGGTGGTCCCAGGTTCTTAGGAACTGAAACCAAACCAGGGATGTGATGTAAGTCAAACCCATCTTTAGTCTGATCAGGTGGACTCTGTATGAGTTCTGGTCATGCTGCTGCCCCTGTTGGTGCTCTCGTTCCGCGAGTCTTTACTCGTCCACTTCAGTCTGGATCAGGTTTGGATCACTTTAGACTGGTCTGTAATGTTAGACAAGTCTTAACAAATATACATGACATAACTACATCCTGTCGTCCTCAACTACGGAAGCTGTGTCTGGTTATCTACCCAACATTTATCGGTTCGTAGACGGGCTCTCCATTCCTCTTGTATCCTCTCTGAAAGTAACATTTTCAAGCTGGGCTCACCCCATTTATTCTACCCAGCTGTTTAGAAGCAACATTTACTTTACTCAGGTCTTAGTGAGCTAACAACCAGAAACCTTTGCTGCCACTTGAGAAGCTACTGGCCTTTTGTAACGTTCTTTACTAGGTCCATATTTCCTTACTTTCCAACAAATGTTTTAACACTAAAAGTGAACTGGACCATGATTGAGTTTGATCCGGTCCGCAACTACCTATTTTTTAGGGATTCAACTGTTTGGTTCTGGTCCGTGAATGGATCAAACAACAAATTCAGAAAGTGTGTACTAAAAGGGGTTGTGAGTAAATGCATAAGAGCTGCTGCTCATGTGTTGACTGATAGAAACATTGACTCTCCAGATGTAAGAAATATACATGAGACATGAGACTTAACTACTGGTAGACCACACTGTCAAAATCTAAACATACTTGTGCTGTTAGAATATGTATAGGTCTAATTGTGTCCAAGCAGCTAACCCGTGCTCATGCATAGATATATATATATAGAGCAGCGTTCATAGAGACGTCACATTAACGTGTCTGTGTGCACGTCTCCTCCTCAGCCACAACCTGCTGGACTCTAAGATCAACACGGTGCTGTCCATGTGCCAGGACACCAACCTCCTGAACCCGGTCCACGGCATCGTCCAGAGCGTGGTCTACCACGAGGAGTCGCCCCCCCAGTACCAGCCCTCCTACCTACAGAGTAATAAATGCTGACATTTTCACATTCTGCACAGGCCATTCATTTACTTTCGTTATTTGTGCCTTTATTCGAAAGAGGACAGTGTATTGAAATGAGTCTTTTCCCCCAAACAGGAAGTGACCTAAGACTGTGACAGTTAATGTAGGTGGATATCAGTGTGTCTTTTTAAGTAAGTGTGCTCACCCTTCTCTCCCCCCCCCTCCCCCCCTTTCATTTCACAGGCTTCGGCTTTAATGGACTCTGGAGGTTTGCCGGACCCTTCTCTAAGGTGTGAACGATTATTTTGCTTCTGTCATTTATTTATTATTTTCCCTGAGGCGCCCTTGGCTGCCACGCAGGAGAAATTCAGCTTACTAAGCAATGACTGTAGCGCAACCACCCTGCCAATTGTTAGGGTGTTATACACCCCCCACACACACACACACACACACACGCGCACACGCACACGCACACACACACACACACAGAGAGGATGAACAACGTTTAAAGCTGAGTTTTCGGTTAATACTGAAACCAGTAGTACCTCAAAAATGTGAAATACATATGAAATGTAAATTAACAGAATTAAAATAGTGTACATATATTAGGGCTCCAAAATTAATGTAAATATTTCCAAATTAACTATTACAATATCCAAATCGCATTAAGTGCAATATTTGCTTAAGGTAAAATGTGTTTAAATATCCGAATGAAGTGTTGTAGAGCTGCCGAGAAATCCCTATATTCTACAGTCTTCATCAAAGATCTCTGTTTTGTACAGATCCTCCTAAAAAAATCACGATATGATCATTTTATTATGTGATTCAATTATCATTTTAAATTATGTTTAAAAACTGGTATATTTCTCTAAGCATATCGCAATATCATTCATAATAATCGGACTATGGTATATTTTGAAATGGTGCACCTTTACTAGGTAACATGTATGACACACTTAATTCTAGCGAGACTTTTATCCCATTAATGTAATCAGTATTTATAATCCAATAAATGATATAATGATATATTGGTATTATTTGTATCCCAGCCTATGTGTCTATGTTGTCACTCTGTTCCCAGGCATTACAATCATCAGTCTAACAGGTTCCCCCCCCCCCCCCCCCCCCCCCCTCCCTCCTGCAGCAAACACAGATACCGGACTACGCCGAGCTGATCGTCAAGTTCCTGGAGGCGTTGATTGACAGCTACCTGCCGGCGGCGGACGAGGAGCGGGGGGAGGAGCAGCTGAGGACGCCCACCTCCCCCTACCCCCCCACCAGCCAGAGCCAGCTCAGCATCACTGCCAACCTCAACCTGTCCAACTCCATGACCTCCTTGGCCACCTCGCAGCACTCTCCAGGTAACACACACACACACACACACACACACACACACACACACACACACACACACACACACACACACACACACACACACACACACACACACACTCAGGCTCTCACGTTCTCCGTTCGTTAACCCTTTGACCTTTCAGATAGTCTTATCAAGGTCACATCTAAATCTTCAGGGCTAGAACTATATATTTGTTCTATACATCTCTCTGGGAGAGAGAGCACGCTTGTGAACTGTTGGCGCCGGTGTTATGCATGTCCACTGCACCTCGCGGGAGCGCGCACAGCGTAAAGCCAAAACTCCCAGACATTACAATGATTTGTACGACAAAAAGTTAGGTTTGGAAACTATATCCTTTCCTTTTTGGCGGGCATGCATAACACCGGAGCCTCGCTGCAGGGAAGCTTTGGCGCTGTTCCGAGTTTGTTCTAATCTGTCAAAATGACGGACTGCTTTCAGATTTTTCCGTCATTGTTAAAAAAAATCCGTTTTAGACTGAAAATATTCCGTTAACGCGAACTTTGGGTAGTATGTTGAGATTATCCTCAAAAATATAAATGTATTAAGAAAAATCCTAATAAATCACAGTTTGGGCTTCCTGTTGTCATGCATTATTACGAACATAGTTCAGTTTCTATATTAATATACAGAAACGGCTTTACAAAAACACATGATCCACACTGTTCGGTTCGGTCCTAACCCCCACCCCCTGTGCCCCTCCAGGTGTGGATAAGGAGAACGTCCAGCTGTCCCCCAGCTCCGCCCTCTCCAGCGGGGGGCGTACTCGCCACGGATCGGCCAGTCAGGTGCAGAAGCAGCGCAGCGCGGGCAGCTTCAAGAGGCCGAGCATCAAGAAGATCGTGTGATCGGAGAACCCTCCTCCTCCTCCTCCTCCAGCCCGCCGGGGGCTCACGCTGCACTCCATCTCTTACTCTGTTTATTTCCTCCTCCTTCTTAACGGTTGTTTCCCCTGGCGTGAAAACTTTTCAGTTGGGCATCGAGGAGGAATATTAACACATTTAGTGCTGCTTGAGATTTATTTCATTTGTGACAGCGCATGGTGGAGGAGAATCTTTTCGTTGGAGTAGTTCCTGTTCTCTGCAGTGGATGTTGTCTTCACAGATATTCAGCAGCAGGTTAGAGTCGGGTCGAGTTCACTCTTATGAAACTATTGGGGGCAAAATGCCCCTGAGCCTGATGGGAAAGCAGGTTCAGTTTGGACAGGGAGGAAACAGGAAGTGAAACTCTGTCTTTATGCTAAAGTTGGATCCGTCCTTTGGCCTTCCTTTTGACTAAACACTCCTGTGTCAGTGAGAGGGACCAAATGACAGCAACAGTGGAGGGGGGGGGGGGTCTGCTCGGACACCTGGGCCCACCTCTCCCAGTCCTGTACATATTTTACATAGACAGATTATGTATAACTAGTCCTTAGTGCTGATTTAGATGTTGATGTTTTTCTCCATGGTGTGCCTTTTGTCAGGGTTTTTCAATGTGTACAATTTGTAAAGTAAAAGTGAAAGACAAAGAACAGGTACTAATTATGGAGGCGAGCCGTCCATATCACCACGCGAGCCGCATCACGACGGGCCTCCAAACGATCGTCTAATATACAATCATCCATATACCCTGTTGCCTGAAAGTATTTATCCTGTACAGCTAGATAGCGCTACACTTTCCAAAAATCTTCTTTTCAAACACTTATGAACGAGAAGATCGCAAAACACTAGGGGGAAATGTACGTGTGTAAATAGCTCCGAGCTTTTTTTGTTTGTTTTCGTGCGCGTCTCTTTTTATGTAGCTGTTTAATGTCAGTTATTTTAGTACGAACTGTGTTTTCAGCAGCATTGCGTTTTAATTTGTTTACACAGTGACAAGGAAAATTGTGTAATAGGCAATAATCCTCAACTCTGAATCTCCTTTGTCAACCACACATTTTGTTTTATTTGTACATCAGTGTCAGCGCGGTGCAATATGAACTCCTAATCTGCCCGGTAACACGGAAAATGAGCTACTGTTGGTTACCTCCTATGACTATTTGAATAGAAAAGAGGCAGTGGACACAGTGACGTTTGATCTCATTACACACACACACACACACACACACACACACACACACACACACACACACACACACACACACACACACACACACACACACACACACACACACACACACACACACACACACAACCGACACACTCCTGTGGGCTCTTCGAAGGAAACATGTAGCCTACGAGGCTTTGACAGTTTGTCAGGACTACGTATTATCGAAATTGTCAAACTTTTTTTTTTTTTAAATCACATTGTGTTCTATGATGTATTATTATTTAACAACTTAAGCCAATTCAACCCCTTCCTGTTCCTGTCAAAACAGCATGGAGAGTGTGAGGAAAAAGCTAATAAGTCAACCTTGTTTTTACAAACTGTTCTTTCCGGTAACACTAAAAATGAATAAACTCATGACTCTTAAATATATGTCAGGCTTACATAAACTGACCTGAAAATATACAATCAAATAATATACAAACATTTGGTGGTATGTCATTTTTCACTTCCTGCTAGAGCTAAAAGCTGCACACTCTGAAAGAAGAGGAATATTTCTATAATCGTTACATTGTACTGGAATAATGGGAAAGATGTAAACGGTGACAGAAACACTGACTCCAGAGCTCCTCCACCCTGCTCCACCCTGCTCCACCCTGCTCCACCCTACTGGAGGCACGGATCCGTTGATGGAAATTCCTCACTTGAGGTTTTTCCTTTAAAGAGCTTCAGTAATAATAACGCAGGTTGCCAATGCCTCCGAATGTCTGTCCCACATGCCTGTTCTGCACATTTCAGGGTGCATTTGAAGAATGCTGTCCCAAGAAAGATATCGTTTCCACACATAAACTGTCAAATCAGCACGGTGTAGTGTTTTAGATAGTGTATAGATTTCCATGATGATTCTCAAAACTACTTTCAGAGAGTTTAAACTTGCTAGACGTAGCTAATCCACCTCGGAGAACTCCATCCTTTTAGTTTTTAATCGCTAATGGTAACACAGTGCAAACTGACAAAACATAGGCTTGTGAACCCAGCACCTACATCGGCCATCTTTAAAGCTATGTCCTGATTAAAATGGTGGTCCACACTACATATGTTAATCCCTAAGGGTTCAACCTCGTTACCATGCCACAATAATGCCCTTAGCCAACAGCAGTCATGGTGTTTGGTAATGGGAACCAGTGGCACAACATGGAAAAAGTCACATGTTTTTTAGGGTTAGGGTGAGCAATTTAGAAAGGGACTGTAGATCAGTGCTCCACCCACAGCCTCCACCCACAGCTCAGCAGGGCTCCTCTGTCCCGCCCTAACATCTATGCATGGCAACAGTTGAGTATTGTTGAAAAAGTCAGACTTTATTCAGTCACACATTGTTTCTCACCATTCTCAGTGTTCATGGTACTTAATGGAAACACTGGTCGATCAGTTCACTACTGATTTGTTTTTCTTGTATTGTTGTCGTCGGGACGTTATTTTCTCCTGTCCATTCAGTAAACACATAATCATTAGATAAATTCCACGGAAAGGGACATTTTGATTAGAGACAGCCTTAGCACAGTCATTCAATCTCAAAGAATGACATAAAGGGAAGACTACAAGTAACAACCCATAATTCATTAATCCAGGTTCCAGTTTATCAGATAAATTGGTCCAACGTCTTTAAACAACCAATCATCAACTAGCACCTGGTTTAAAGCATACTGACGCATAAAAAGGCCCCAAAAAAATGACACATCAATATTTTATTTGTATGAAAGGTTTTCCAAACTATGTTTTTAACTTTGATTGCAAAAGAGCTGGACTATGCTGACTGGCCAAAGTTTTATTTAATTCAACATTAGCCCTCATGTAAATAGGCCTAACCCTAGTCAGGAATCAAGCATGAAGTTTTATCACCTTTACGTTGTTAATGTTTTCTGACGCAAGATTTTTGGAGCAGTGATGAACTCACACAAAGAGGCGATAAAGGCCCAGTTTGGGTCAGGATTAGTATCTAAACTTCAGGATTAGAAACAAAATTCACAATTAGGAAAACAATTTGGGATTAGCAATTAAAATTCAGGATTAGGATCTAAAGTCCAACTCGCAGGAATTGTGATGGTTAATTTTTGTTCAGATTTCAGTGTCAGATTCCATAGAACTGTCTCATCGTTAAGCTCAATCCATCGTCTCTTCTCACCGTCTAACTGTTCTTAAAGCTACACTCACTGATTTCCCTCTGAAACAAACCTTGAATTACAGATCAGTGACTGTACCTTTAACAAGACAACCAGGAAAAATCTGTTGGCTGGTTTATTTGAGCGCTGTGTTCGCAGATTCCATCGTTTCCGGGTTCTAGTTTGACTTGTGTGTGAATGGAAATATTAAGGATTATGTATCCATAACCTCTTAAACAAGTGGTTGACTTGCACTAATTTAAAAACAGTCATGGGTTTCTAAAGATGAAAAACCTCAAAATGTGGCATGTTTTATTTGATGTTATGCAAAATCTAATGTCTGTAGAGTAATAGTCTGAGTTTTGTTTTATTGCAGTATGTGTGATAATTGTAAATACAATTTGAGATGGTATATTTACTACACTGTACATACATGTGATATTGTATCATTTTGTTTTTGTAAAGCAGTTAGTTTCTGTATAATAATATACAAATTGAACTATTCCAGTGTTAGTAATAAAATGTTTTGCTCTCCAAAACGTTTGAACCGGCGTGATAACAGACCCCAAACCGAGTTATCTTTATAAAGGTCACATTGCCAAAGGTGTCAATGAAGGTTTTAACAAATGTGGTCCGCTGTTGACCATTCAGATTTTAGTAAGTGATATATTGTGTATGTAGCCAGTCCCCAACTCCGGGGACTTCCGGCCGGGGACTTCGGGTGGCAGTATACGCCGTGAAGTTGTTTGCGGCCTGCCAGTAAACCCAAAGCAGCAGCAGAAGAAGAAGTGAAGTCAGCCATTCCGGTGTAGGTACCATTAGGCGCATTCACACCACAGTACTTTTCCCACAAAGGTTAATGAGAACTTAGTTCATGAGAACTCTTTAGTTCACATGAACTACAGATCGCGTTCACACCGGAATAAGTCCCTGGGGGAGGATTAGGCAAATGAAGCCGCTGACGTCACTTCTTCTTCTTCTGCTTTGGGTTTACTGGTAGGCCGCAAACCACTTCACGGCGTATACTGCCGCCCAAAGTCCCCGGAGTTGGGGACTGGGACTCCCAGCAGCTTCTACTGAAGCCTTCCGAGTAAATCGCCAGAATGCCGACACCTCATCTCCACCGCTCCCATGTTTTATTTTGTGTTGCCATAAGTTAGTCTCTCTGCGTTTCTGCGCTGGGCTAATGCTAATAATGCTAATGCGAGGATAATAAAATGGCGGCTTCACAAAACTTTTTGGGAGTTTTACGGGGCGTGGTTTGCAATCCTTCCAGCCAATCAGACATAGGAACCTTTTTCTCTCTAGCAGGGGTGGAAAAAAAAAAGGGGGTGAAAAGGTTCTCATGAACTAATTTGAATTCCGGCTCTTTTTGGTGTGAACGCAACATTTCGGAACTATATCGGAACTAAAGTGGGAAAAGTACTGCGGTGTGAACGCGCCTATTCTTTCACACACACATACGGGTATTGGGCCGAGGGCGACACCGTACTTCCGGTATCCGCCGTTTTACGCGAGGTGCAAGCAGGCCAAGGGTTTAGCCGTACACCGTCTAGGTGTTGCTAAGCTTCCTGTACTGAATATCATAGTCTATTGCCTTAATCAATATCTAGTCAACTCTAAAATACCACATATGGCATGATAATATTATTGTGACAAGTGGGGTATTCACCTGGTGTTTCTAGAAGATAGACGTAGATGCTGCCAAAATCGACGAAGGCCACTTTCGAGGGTTGTTTTTCCATACATCTGCAGGCAGTCTGTAACAACCCACACAGCTCTAGTTTACGCTGGTAACGACCTAGAGCACACCCCTCAAGTCCAGAGATGTAAACCGAAGACATGCAGCGATTTCTTCGGTCGTTAATTCAGAAAAAAAACCTAGTGCGCTCTGCCTGGCTACGTTAGCCTGGCTACGTTTATATTAGCACCTCCAGGATATTTGCACCTCCATGAAAATGGCGTATTTATATATATTTATATATATATATATGGCGCGTGTTGCATTGTGGGTAGCTCGTGACGTCACTGTGTGTGAAAGAATTGTCACTACCCGATCCGTCCCCCTGCCCGATCGGTACTGCGCATGTGCGAGATGGTCCGCCATATTGGACAACTCCGGACGGCAACCCAAGATGGACACTTGACACAGTGGCTTTTAGCAAAGCTCAAAAAGAAAACGAGAGAGAGATGAGTTATTACAACGTGACTTCACTATTATTTAATAACTCTTTTTATTGGGTTCTTTTATTTGGGGTTGAGTACATTGTCAGAATAAGTGAGAAATGGATTTAACTTCTGTTAGACAGCTATCATACTGAATAAATATTTACTGTGAATGTATGCAAAAATGTATGGCATATGGCTGTCTAACAGAAGTTAAATTCATTCCTCACTTATTCTGACAATGTACTTAACCCCAAATAAAAGAACCCAATAAAAAGAGTTGTTAAATAATAGTGAAGTCACGTCGTAATAACAATAACTCATCTCTCTCTCGTTTTATTTTTGAGCTTTGCTAAAAGCCATGTCCAATATGGCGGACCATCTCGCACATGCGCAGTACCGATCGGGCAGGGGGACGGATCGGGTAGTGACAATGGTACCTACACCGGTGTGAACGCGATCTGTACTTAGTTCAGTTATCATGAACTAATTTCTGATGACCCTTTGTGGGAAAAGTACTGCGGTGTGAATGCGCCTAAGGGCTCCCTCGACAAAAAAATTGGGGTTTTCCATTGGATTTCGGAATATTGCAGAAAATAATATCTTTGGAAAACAAACTTAAATGTTTTGTTCAGCGGGATAAGTAAATAGCTGATGTAATGCTCAAGACAAACGACAGTCACATGACTGCACATCAACACCGCTAAGCTAAAGGTGGCTACATTTCAGCGTGATGACGTTTATTCTCAGTCTCATTTAGCCACCTTTTAGCAACCACGGTTTTTAAGACATGGAAAAGCTTCAGACATTCACAGGGTATTCACTGAAGTGTTTAATGTCAAAGCCAAACGTGAACAGCTTGTGTTAACCACAGACCTTATTTTAGGCAGCTAACCAAAAATGAATTAAAAAAATGGTGGGTTCAATGAGTGAACACAGAAATGCTAACTAACGTCCGGTCTAAGGACTCATTCCTGCAACACTAGCATACCCAATCAGTGTATCAATGTGTGAACTGTCCTACCAGAGTCAGCGAGGTGGCAAAGTTCAGACTCTGCTGTGAGCGCCTAGACAGCTGGCCAAATAACCACAATGCACCGGGTTTGATCCGCTCTTGTGACCTTTGTTGTATATTTCAAGCAGTTGCAAATTCTACTGG